TAGTCATTATAATTCTTAATGCCTATAGGAAACAGGCTGCTGCTGCCATCACCTGCTGTAAAGCAAGAATCCAAAACATCAGAGGAAAACGTTGGTCTCATTGTCTATAATGGAGCCATGGTGGACGTGGGGAGTCTCTTGCAGAAATTAGAGAAGAGCGAAAAAGCACGAGCTGAAATGGAACAAAAGCTTCAATCACTGGAAGAAAAAACAGGTGGGCATGCATAATTTAGTTCATTTTTCATTAACTCAAAATGGATTAATCAAAAGACAGTGGCACCAGAGTGGAGGAAGAATGAATTCCAGTTGCTCCAGTAGATTGAAGGCTGGGTTGTGCTATGGAGAGAGAGAACTGCTTCTGCTGGCAGTCATTATATCATTAGATATCACCCAGGAATAGCTTTTATATTTTTTTCTGTTATAAGCAAGAAAAAAAAGCATAATACACATGCATAATATCTATGAAATGCATATATTGTACTACTGATGTGTGTGCCAGTTAACAAATGGATTTTCACTTTCTGAGTCAGATTAATTGATCTGAATAGTCTTGCCTCATCATTTTAACTAAAAAGGACATAATGATAGTAAAGCCAGTAGAGCCAGTTTGTTATAGAGGTTAAGGCACCAGACTAGAAAGCAGGAGATCGTGTGTTCTAGTCCCACTTTAGGCACAAAGCCACCTGGGTGACCTTGGACCAGTCACTCTTACTCAGCCCTAAAGGAGGAGGCAATGGCAAATCACTTCTGAAAAACCTTGCCCAGACAGTCGCCAGGAGTCAACACTGACTTCAAGGCACCAAAAAAAAAAAAAAAACCTTTACTAGCTTTGTCCTATAGAGTAAAGTGCCCACTTGGCATTTTAATCCTATATTTTCTCTAATCAATTTAAATTGTTATAGAAAGATGCAGTGTGAAAGATTAAATCATTGCATTTTTTTTTTCAGATGAAGATGAAAAGACTATATTGAATTTGGGGAACTTAAACAAAAGCCTCTCTGTGGAAATTAAAGAGGTGAAAAAAGAGCTCAGCAAGCTGCAGGAGAACTTGAAGATATCAGAAGATACAAATTTACAGTTTGAAGGGCAGCTGACTAAGACCATCAAAGGTTTGGCAACCGTTATGGATGAAATACACATGGTTCTTAAGAAGGTAAAGCTCTCTGTAACTGTTCTGCAAAATTTCCTGTGAATGGGAAGGGCAGAATATCTTAATCTGGTTATAGCAGCTTTTCACTGATTCCCTGCATCCTTTTTCCATAGGACAGTGCGAAGAATGAGGATAAAGATCAAACATCCAAAGAAAACGGAGCGAATGTATGACAAACATGCTGCCGCTGGAAAAAAAGAATGTTACATAATGTAATATAAATCATGAAACTGGAGTGTATGAAAGTGATGCATGTTTAATTTAGTAGTATAAATACTTTAGTCCAAGCAAGGTTGTATAAAGTTTTATAAATGTGTGAGCCTGCTTCAAAAGATTGCTTGTAATTCACAGCCCTCAATTTGTTAGACACTCCTTGAGTGAAAATAATTTTGCATTGCAAAATGTTTTAGGGTAAATTTGGTTATAGTTTGAATGCTAATAAAGTTCATCAACTTCATGGGAAATAGCAAGTATTTAATTACCAAAACTTTCCCTTTACAACTTAGTGCAAACATTTTTCATTATTTATAGAGATGCCATTCTTAGGTTTTATTTCAGACTATTTAGGTTTTTTTAAAAAAAAAATCCGGGTATATAAATCATAGCATGCTGCTTAATTTTGCCAGTAAAGATTTTTAAATACACTCTTGAATTTTTGTCAGAGTTTTTTCCCTTTGAATTGTGACTTTTCTTGGAAGTTCTTATTACTGTTTTGATGCACAGTAATTGAGGAAAAGAATAATAAGAAACTTACAGAACATTGGTAAATTGGGATTTATATAAAAACATATTTGTTTTATTATGCATATTTTGTATTCCTTGAAATGTTCTATCCCTACATTAATATATTAGCAAGTTTTAAAAATTGTATGAGAATGTACAATTGACTAATACATACCGGGCCAGTAGATGTCAGTATAATGCTTTATTTGGAAAAATTGCTACTAGTTTTATATTGGCTTTCATTAAATTGGCTATTTACCTTCCCAGTGTTAATTTCTTAAGACCGTCTTCCAATGAAGGTATTACATGCATTTCACACAAGTCATAAAATATCTAAATTTAAGCAGTAACACAGCAATCTTGTTGTGTTAATAGGATAATGTGGTATGGAGGGATATATTTGGGCACAAGTATGTTTGAGTTTACTCAATATGAAAGGAGTAACTTAACCTGAAACTCAGAATCAGATGTAAAATAGCTGCTATAATTAAATAGCTGCCAGATTGACAACATGTTCGTTGTTGGTAGCTTAAAAGGCAGAATCCTTAAATGTCTCAAATTGTTCTGTTGGGCTCCTTGACATCAAATACTAACATAATTGATTGTGAAAGCATTTTGAATAAACACTTCCCATTCCCAATCAAACGGATAATGTTACATTATTATCTGTTTAATCCAGAAAGCAAACCTTAAATAGCAGTGCAACACAATGTAAAGTTTGAAAGAGACATTACGGATCACATGAAACAAATGACATTTTCTCCATTTCCCACTAGGAAGGTTTCTGTAAGCATCATCTTAACCCCAAGGGCCTGTATTGAAAGACTACTTTGGGAGGCCAGGCAGACTCTGACATTCCCCCAGCCGCTTTCACCTGGGAGAAGACTTCCTTTCTCATTGACTAACAAGTTTCATGAAGGGCTCTTGGTCCAGCCGCTCACACGGCAAAGCTCAGTGCATAGAGAACTTTTACTCATGCTGACTAAACATGTGGGGGGGGGGAGTTTCCACTCTACATGGCTGATACCATGTTCAGCAGCTGAGAATGCAAGCCTGTGTTGCCTTGCTCACATATTCTGCCTGCACATGTTGCCCAAAGAATGATCTTCAGGGAACTCCAGATGAACATTTACCTCCAAGTCTTTAGCATGTTATGAATCATACACATAGAAGCAAAGAGTTATCTAAAAAATGGCAGAGAGTGTTTGTTGATAATGTCTAAAAGAAATGGAAAGGAAAAAGAGAAGCAAAGGAGGAAATGTGAGAATAAATGCAGGGAGGTGTGATTGCAACAGGTTAAGAGTAATTCAAACTGAAAGAAGACAAATACAGTGGAGCTGAGGTTCTAAAGAATGCAGATGCAGTAAAGAAAAGAGATGGAAGCGCTGGAGAGGAAGTGGCTGGGCTGAGACCCCAGCATGAGAAACATAAAATAGCAGCAGCCTTTGTGTGCCACTGAACGGGACAAGCCAGTAACATTAAAGCTCATACAATTACTCCCTGCCGAGTCACTACATTTCAGAGAACTCTTGATTTTTCACATCTGGCTCATGACTTCTCTATATCTACAAATCCTGAGCAGATTATTCCTCAGGAACAAAAAGGCACCAATGCCAGTGCACCGTTTTTGGAAAATACCATTTAATGGCAAGAAAAAAAAAACTTGGGTGGCCTGCGGTACTTGCAGCATTTTGGTCACTTGGAGGGATGCTAACGACAATTTGGTTCTTTTCTGGTTATATAGTTCTATAGTAGTATTTGGAAATAGGCATAAGCATAAGATCAAACGCAGAAAACAGAGAAAGAGACTAAACAGGCTGCTATTTGTGTTCCTTATTTTTTCAACTTGACAGAATTAAACTCTATTAAATCCTAATTACCCTTTCAGAACTACAGAAGTTCCCCAATTTGCTGCAGACTTGCAAACCTCACTGGGGTGTTGAGAGATTCTCATCACTTACCTGCTTTGTTGCTCTCTAAAATCGTTTCTCTAAAGTAGACACTTTCTACAGTTCAGGCATTAAGTCTATATATTTGCTATTTAAATGGGGTTTTTTATTATTTAAATATAACTCGTCTCCTCTTACATTGCTCAGTTAGGCAAATTTTCCCGTCTTTGTTGCTTTCTACCTTCGTTCAACTATCAACAATCATTTCATCTTTTGCTGTTTGTTTTGTCTTTTAATGAAGTCTGGAGTTCTTCAGGCATTCTAGTTATCAACTGGAATCCATTACATCTATTCTTTCCCTACTGAATATTGTTGAGGTTGTAGCTTGTTAGTCTGATTATTTTATTTTCATTAGTTTAAGCTGTGATTTTCTAAGAAGGAGTTGTGATCTGAGCTTAGTCAGGAACAAACTCCTGTTTTTACTGATTAAATAGAGCTTTTTCATCACTGCTTGCAGGTTATAGTCAATTTCATTTTGGTGATGTTTATCTCGTCATGGGCAAAATCATTTTTGGGGTTGGTTGAAGAAAGTATTTGCTACAAATAATTTTCTTGGCAGAACTTTGTTAGTTTATCTCCATTTCATAAAACAAGGTCAAATTTTCCTGTTACTTCAGGTGCTATTTTACTTTCAACTTCAGCATTTCAGTGTCCTATAATGATTTTTTTTTTCCTTTTGGAATTGTTGGGTCAATGAGGTATTTCTTCCCCTAGAACTGTTCTACTTCCCTTGCGTGTGTGGTTGGAGCATAGACTTGGAGCATCATAATATTGATGGGCTTGCCTTGGACTCAAATTAAAATTATCCTATCATGTTTCAAGCTGTATCTGAACATTTACTTTCATAAATATTTGTTAATAACTACTCAATTTCTGCAGTGATTTTCTTGCTCACAATAGATCTGATACTCTTCTGATGTCAAATGACCAGTTCCAGACTTCTACTTCATTCCCAGTGTGTCAATATTTATTACTGACATTTCCACTTTGGCATCAAGTTTTCCTTGGTTCGTGGACCTGACATTTTATATATCAACAGAATACATACCTTTGTAGCATCAAACTTTCTGTTTTCTTCAGGCATGTCAGCATCTGGACATCCTTTGGGTTTTAATCCAGCCATATCATAAATATTTATGATAACTTGCTGTTTGCTCTCCATTATCAAAACTTTTAAGTTTACTATAAAGCCTTAATAAGCTATGTCTAAATAAAATTTTTCATCCTTTAATTAAACTGTCTCCTCTGAAGAGCTCACATATTTTGATAGGCTTGGCCCTAGCCACACAAGAAAAAACACTTTCTAGGAATCCAGATAGGGTAACTATTGGTTTGCAGAGTTCTCCTGTTTTTCAGAGTGGATATTTAAAGTCTTGTGTCCTCTGTGTGAGAGAGTTATTTTGTTCTGTGGGCTTTACTGAAGCCTTAAAAATGTCATAGTGATCTCAGGTGGCAATCTGGAAAAACATGGATGGATTTAATCTTGAGATTTCTAACACCTGATACTTAAATACTGATGCAATATATAGTACGTTGCTTTATCAATATATTTTTGTTTCAGAATACTTTAATTCCTGCAGTACAGAATTATATAAACACTACCCACAATAAATTTGAGTATACTCAGTGCCCAAAGTCGTGATGAGGAGCAGAGGTCAATATCTAAGGGTCCATCTGCTAAAAACCATAGCATAGGGAAGATAGCAATTTGGAATGTAAGAGAAAGGAAAAATAAAGAGCACAATTAACAAAAGAAAGAAAATAGATAAGTTGTGTGTCTATGAAACTAAGAAGTCCTGAATGAGGGTGACCTGTGCAATGTGTTTATCATGTGTATCGTGATTGCATCTGTGGTCTGACAATGGAAGAAATGCTGTTATTGTTCCCCTACACAAGGGGAAAAGTAGCAAGAGTGAATGCAAAAGTTAGAGGGATAAGTTTGTTATGTGTGCTGGGAAAATATTCAACAGATTTCTGATTGAAAGGGTACAATAGGTAAAAATAACATTTGGAAAATGCATGGCATTTTGGTGGGCAGGGGTGAATGGATGAACAGACCAGATTTTTGTTCTTCAACAGCTACTGAGATACAATATCAGTTTATTCTACATTTGTTGATTTAGAGAATGATAAACTGAATAAGCTTGAATTATGGCATGTTTCCTGAAATAGGGAATTGAAGATTGGTTGGTTACGTAATGTTGTAAGAGCAATATATAATGGAAGTAAAACATCTCAGAAGGGACTCTTCCTAGTTTTCTGCTCTCAGGACCCGTTCTCACTTTTAAAAATTATAAAGGACACCAAAAGAGCTTTTGTTTGGGTGGATTATATTTCTCATTATTCACCATATTAAAAATTAAAAATGATGCATTCATAGAATATTTATTGACTCATGTAAAAATAACAATATTAAATCCACTAGATGTTAACATAAAACATTTTCATGAAAAAAACCCTATATTTTTTACCAAAAAAAAAGTGAAGAGTATCATTGTTTTAATTTTTTGCAAATATCT